CGGATGAAACCGCGCAAGCAACGCCTGCACATTTTACTAACCATACAAACACACAAGCACAGTATTAAAACACAAACAGGTTTCCGTTAAAAAAAAAAAAAAAACTACAAAGCAAAAACATTTTAGCTGTTCCATGTGGAATGGCAACTTTCCAAACAGCACATGTTAAAAGATGTTACTTGTAGTATAGTAGTCATAAAATAACACATGAAGAAAGTGATAATTTCCGAGGGAGAACAAAGAAACAGTTACAAGGAAAGAAAGTAATTCACGGCGCTCACAAACCAGCTTATCACTGCAAATGCACGGGAAAGCACTGCAGCAAAGCCGCGGCGAACAGCCGAATCGAACATGATTGTCAATTCCAAATGGCTTGCTGGCCTGTACAGTGTCTGCGTGTGTACTATAGGGCAATGGCATATGCACCGGGTGATGGACAGACACGAAGATAATCAAACATCTGGTCAGGCGGCCGGACGGACAGGTAATAGAGATAATTAGACAGGCAAGCAGTCAGACAGACATATAATCAGACAGGCAAGCAGACAGACAGACATACATATAATTAGACAGGCAAGCATACGAACATATAATTAGACAGGCGAGCAGACAGACAGACAGCCATAATTAGACATACAAGCAAACATACATATAATTAGACAGACAAGCATACAGACATACAATTAGACAGGCAAGCAGACAGGCGAGGAGAGAGACATACATATAATCAGACAGGCAAACAGACAGACAGATAATTAGACAGGAAAACAGACAGACATATAATTAGACAGGCAAGCAAACATACACATATAATTAGACAGGCAAGCAAACAGACAGACATATAAGACAACCCAAAAAAAACCCAGACAGACATATAATTAGACAGGCAAGCAGACAGACAGGCAGATAATTAGACAGGAAAACAGACAGACATATAATTAGACAGGCAAGCAGACATACACATATAATTAGACAGGCAAGCAGACAGACATACATATAAGACAGGCCCAAAAAAAAAAAAACCAGACAGACATATAATTAGACAGGCAAGCAAACAGGCAGACATATAATTAGACAGGCAAGCAGACAGAAAGACATAATAAGCCATACAGGTAAAAAAGTAGATATTTACAAAGAAAGACAGACAGTCGGGTAGATGTACATAGAAGATATGCATATTCTAGGTAGAAGAAAATGTGGACAATCAGAAAGTGGGTAGGTCGTAAGAGGCGATGCAGTCTTATAGTGCCTACTTTATCTAGTAGAAAATTAACTTTAAAAAAAAAGTAATGAATCATGAACGTCTGGTTTGTTTGTGTTCGATTTTGCGGTTCGCATGTTATATTGAGGTTTACAGATAAGAAGTGTTATCTGCGACTTTCAGCCCAACACATCTTCATCCGATTTTAAATAAATCCTAATTAGTCGCCCATTACGACATGCTTGTAAAGGATCAGTGTCTACCCAAGCCAGATGAGAGTAGGCTTTTATCTCAACAGATAGGAGGCGAAAAAGGGGGGGGGGGGGGGAGACATTCCTTTTGAGAGGCAGAACATCAAGTTGCAAACATCACAGTATGATGTGCAACACTTCAGCACACCTATAGGTTACAAATAGAGGGCGCTTGAAAGCAATGCACACTACATGTTTTAAAGCAATGCACACTATACGTTTTAAAGAAATGTATACTACACGTTTTAAAGCAATGCACATTACACGTTTTAAAGCAATGCACACTACACGTGTTAAAGCAATTCATACTGAATAAAAAACTATCCCGTCTTCCCCATGTGGGTTCCAGAGCCCCATTGTGGGGGGGGGGAGGGGGACTAGAATAGACTCACTGCCTCCCCAACAAGCATGTCGTAGGAGTCGTCTTATTGGCGACATTCTTCGAATTTAGAGATCATCTGCCTGAGAGGCAAGGTACCAACAGTCTGCACACAAGTAAGCCAGATCTGTGAAAAGAATGTGCATGCAGCACCCAGGTTCCGGAACAAGACTAAATTCCGGAGGTGGACGAACATCCAGAGCTTTCCGCTAGAGTTTACAGGCAGCGAACGAGAAGAAAAAGAAGGAGGCTGTGCCGGCTTAACAATGAAGGTTGGCTACAATGTATCACTGTCGTCTTTGGGAAAGCACGTAGTGAGGTCTCATTTCTTCCACGGCGCTATTCTCGTACCACTGTCTGATAGCGAAGTGAACGGTTTTTATTTGAACGGTCCACGACGGGGAACGAAACCTAGCGCTCAAAGATCATGACATTGCTAGAAAAAAAGATACTTCACGCTTTAAAGCAGTGGTTCTCAACCTTCCTAACGCCGCGACCCTTTAATAAAGTTCGCTCATGTTGTGGCGATCCCCAAACCATTTTTTGTCTTTCATAACTTCAATGAATATGTTTTCCGATGGTCTTAGGCGACCCCGGTGAAAGGGTCGTAGGTCCCAGAAAAAAAAGGTCGCGACGCGCAGGTTGAGAACCGCTGCTTTAAAACAATAACTATTATTTTTTAATGATTAACACATCGGAAAATACCTACATTACAAATAATCTATCCTTTAACGCAATAAATACTACTCACTTTCAAGTAATAAAGACTATATACGTTAAAGTAGCAGATACTAAATACTTTAAACTAAGAAAGACTATTTACGTTCAAGTAAAAAAAAAAAATACTACATGCTTTAAAGAAAGCAATAAATAAAACACGCATAAAGCAATAAATGCTACTTGTTTCAAAGCAACACGCTGCCACTGTGTTAGCACTGCTACATTTTATGGATTAACACTGCATCACATCCCTACATTGTAGATATTACACGCTTTAAAGTATCGCACCACTGTGCCGGTATTTACACATTTATAGATTAACACATTACAACAATGATGTAAACACAGCGGTAAAGGCAACATACCGACTGTTCTTGGGCTTACAAAATATATTTATCCTCAATAAGAAACACAACACACGATCTCAAGAATATATGTACGGCAGTCCTTGCAGCTATAACCCCCCCCCCCCCCAACCACTTTTTTTTTCTCCCCTGCCCCCTCGCAAGGTATAGGATTCCTACCATTCCCCCATCAGCTTTCACACACAAGGCTCATTCACAAAACAGCCAACGTGACTTATCAGCAACTGAGCCAACAAAACAGTACTATCTAGTTCTGGTTACATCACCAGATGACTTTTTTTTAAAAAAGGATTTCGTCATTCCCGATGTTTACTTTCCCCTGTGAACTTTTCACAACAAAGGACTCTGTCACATCTGGCAATTCTATAGATCACCGAATCCTTGGAAGACGTGTATTTATCAATTCAAAGTTATTGAACCGTAACGTCCCAAACGAGATTACGTATAGAAAAGCTCTTTAGAGGCTTGGTGCTATAAACATGGGAGTATTTTTACCACACGCGTACGCAGACAGTGTGATCGATATTATCAACAAGTGTGTGAGTTCTCCGTGGAATAAGGCAACAGTAACAGATGATCGTTATCGATTTCTTTCTCTAGATGATCTCATCAAACGCCGTCACGCCATTCTGGTAGCTATGACCTCATCAATGGTTCTTACTAAAGTGGCCTATGTCGCCGTATTTCTAGTTTGATTTTTTTTTTTCATTGCCTGAAGTGATCTTACAATATGTATCCATGTCATTCTAACATATCCCCTATAGCTTCTTTCCGATAATAAATTAAGGTTGCGCCATCTCTATCTGTTCATTTGATCTTGTCTCTTAATAGGACGGTATTTTGGTGCTTTCTTATTCTTCCTCTCTTTCTTTCTTTCTTTCTTTCTTTCTTTCTTTCTTTCTTTCTTTCTTTCTTTCTTTCTTTCTTTCTTTCTTTCTTTCTTTCTTTCTTTCTTTCTTTCTTTCTTTCTTTCTACTACTACTGCTACTACTTTCTAATGCGGCAAAGACTTATTAATTGTAACATATTGTAGAAGTATAGATTAGGTTGAATATATTGATTTCTACATTAAAAAATATCATACTCACATTATGTATTTTATCCTTGGGTGTTTTCAAAGTGATCTGTGATGCCAATGTTCTAACTTAATGATACATTAACACAGTGGCTCTCAACCTTCCTAATGTCGTAACCCTTTAATACAGTTCCCTCATGTTGTGGCAACCCATAAAACACTTATTTTCCCCCATAACCCCATTGAATATGTGTTTTCTGAATGTCTTAAGCGACCCTGTGAAAGGGTTGTTCGCCTCCCCCCCTAAAAAAAGGGTCGCGACCAGCAGTTTGAGAACCGCTCCCCCATGTAATGTGAACCGCTTTATACAGCACTGCAATGATCAGAAATCATATCAGACAACTCTAGTTGTATCATGGACTATGGGTTGTCTCCTCCACACAATAACCTAGTATATTCTGTAGTCGGCACCCACCCCCACCTCCCAACAATCCCAGCACTGCTTTCTCCAGGCTACTATGACGTTTAACATGGTCCAAATATCTTAGCTTTCAGTACAAGATGCTGTTTATGAGCATATTCTCCTCAGTGTTTAGATCATGTAGGATGGTGGATATTTTTCTTCTTCTTGGTCCGTGGTGCTCTAACAATTCGTTTTTTAAATGGAGGATATCCCACACATTTAAGCAACAATGAGGCAAAAGACTACAGAACTTGGTGACAACTGGCAAGACGTTATATGGACAGAGCAGGAGGAAGAGAAAGAATTAAATACTTAGATGTCGTAGGTGGAGCGGGTTAAGATTTTTCATCTGAAGCAATCTCCTATTCATATCAACAGGGACAATGATGATGATGATGATGATGAAAGAGGCAGAATGTTTAACGCAAACATATCAAAGCAAATAAATAGGGCGTGAAAGAAACTATCTAAAATGATAAAAAGACATCCCACAGTCCATTTAGATAACTCTGGATACTCAAACACTGTGTGACTTTGAATATATACATAACAAAACGAAGTTATCTGTTGAATATAATGGCAAAGATAAAGGAAATCAAATCTCACCTTGTAGAGATTTTCTGCTTCAGCTGGGCTGAGCCTATTTCTGGCTGTTGACAGTTTGTTCTCGGCTTTATCCAGCCATGACGTCATTTCCTTGGTCCCCGAGTCCAGTGTTCGCCACTGTTCCATAGCTTTGTGCCATTTCCTGCAGGAGGAGAGAGAACGAGAAAGTCAATACTGAAGCACAAAGTTGCAATTCCCCCCCCCCCCCCCCCAAAAAAAAAAAAATATATCCTTTTCCCCCTGTCTTTCTTGCCTCACTCTGTCAATTCATTCCTAACCAATGATGTTCTTCCCCGTGTGGGTATCGGGGCCCGGAACCCCCCCCCCCCCCAACCCCTCCCCCTAACAAGCATGTCGTGAAAGTTGATTATTATATTTTCAACAGTATATGTTGGGCCGAAAGGCGAAGGTTTTCAGACCAGATGTAAATAACATGCTATCTGCCCTTTCAAGGGTGAACAAAGAAGGAGAAGAACTAGAGACGTAAAACTCAGTAAAGCCGAGTTAGCAAGATTTCAAAGAGCCCCCCCCCCTCTCCCCCACCCCCTAGTAGACACTTGATGGCGAGTGTGACTAGCAAGACCTGCCCGTGTCAAGAAAAGTCTTAAACAATGATAGCATGGGATTTCAGGACCATTGTTAACAGCATTTGTGTTTAATCCGTTTCTTTTGAGACGCTCAGCTCTCATCCTTTTTGCAATCATGTCTTCCTTCAGTCTCATTCCTTTCCTGATATGCCCTTTCCACACAACACGGTCCATGGCATCTTGCTCCTATGAGTCCGCCTCAATACCTGTATCATTTATGTCTCGCTTGCATACATCTTTATAACGTAGTAGAGGTCGGCCTCGACATCTTCTTCCTGTCTTCAATTCACCACAAAAGATGTCCTTTGGGACTCTGCCATCCTCCATTCTCCAGGTGTGACCCAGCCACCTGAGCCTTCGTAGATTGAGCAAGGAAAAGACTGTTGTAGTACCTGCTCTTTCCAGTACCTCAGTGTTTGTGACTTTGTCCTGCCACTTAAGGCCAAGTATTCTTCTTAGGCATCGCATGTGAAAGCTATTAAGCCGTCTCTCTTGGTACAAATAAAGCAGAGCGCTGAGAACACAAGCCTGATAGACAAGGTGTTTTGTTTTAATTGTGAGCTTTCTGTTCTCCCAAACTCTCTTTATCAATCTGCTCATTGCTGTTGCTGCCTTACCTATCCTGATGTTGATTTCTTGGTCCAGCGATAATTTACTATTAACTGTGGAACCCAGATAGGTAAAATGGTCTACTGTCTAAAGCTCTTCACCGTCAATGCAGACTGTAGGTCTGTCATTGACACCTTGCACCAAAACGTTTGTCTTTCTTTCGCTGACTGTTAGTCCAAATTCACAGCACGCAGCAGCAAAGGCAGATATTTAACATTGCAGCTCCTCCTCTGAGTGGGTGGTTATTGCGGCATCATCTGCAAACAGCAGCTCTATAAGTACCTTTCTTATCCTGGTTTTGGCCTTCAGCCTGCGTGGATTTTAAAGGCTGCCGTCAGATCGAGAATCAATGAAAATACCACCCTCCTGATCTCGAAAGGCATGTGTCAAAGGAAGTAAAAAGTATATTCCAAAGAGGGTAGGAGCAAGTACACACGAGTGCTTCACTCCATTTTTGATTAAAAACTTTTCTGATGTTTCACCATCAAAGTTGATTGTACCTTTCGTACCTGTGTGGAACGACTCAATAATACTCAGTAGAGTAGGTGGACACCCAATCTTCCTCAGTGCATTGAACAAACCTTTTCGACTAACCAAATCAAATGCCTTGGTAAGATCAATAAAAGCAACATACAGTGGTTGATTTTGTTCGCGGCATTTTTCCTGCAACTGACGTATTGAAAATAATATATCAGTGGTAGATCGGTTCCCACGAAAGCCACTCTGGGACTCTGGGTAAACGCGATCCCCCAGGATCTTTAGTCTTCGCAGAACAATTCTCGCGAGCACTTTTCCAACAGTACACAGCAGTGATATTCCCCTGGAGTTATTGCAGTCACTCCGATCAACCTTGTTCTTGTACATAGTTATGATGTTTGCATCTTTGAAATCCTGCGGAACCTCTCCCTCTTTCCAGCAGAGTGTTATTAACTGATGGATGTGTGGGGATAGACACTTTATGGAAGCCATTTACCATCGGCTCAACCAGGCAGCCAGGTGATTGTCAACAATCCGTCGGGTTATGAATTGGAACCAATGTTCGCTAAGCATATTTGTTCTGTTGATTATCTAAATTCCACCACAAATACTGCTCTTCAAATCCGAATAGGACTGAGAGCTTTTGAACCGTTCGTGGTCGGTGGATAAGGACCAGGTCTGATAGTGGCTAAAATCTATCTACGCCTCTCTACGGTCACCACAGAAACAGGTTCCCAGCAGAGGGTCCTGGTGAACGCTGAGAGGGTCGACGTTTCCTTTGGGGTCGGAGTACATCTGCCTGAGAGACGAGGACACAACAGTCTTTACTCAAACAATCAAGCCTGCTCTTTACTCAAACAAACCTGCTCTTTACTCAAACAATCAAGCCTGCTCTTTACTCAAACAAACCTGCTCTTTACTCAAACAAGCCTGCTCTTTACTCAAACAAGCCTGCTCTTTACTCAAACAAACCTGCTCTTTACTCAAACAAGATTGCTCTTTACTCAAACAAGCCTGCTCTTTACTCAAACAAGCCTGCTCTTTACTCAAACAAGCCTGCTCTTTACTCAAACAAACCTGCTCTTTACTCAAACAAGATTGCTCTTTACTCAAACAAGCCTGCTCTTTACTCAAACAAGCCTGCTCTTTACAAAGGATATGCATGCAGAACTCAAATCGTGAAAGCAAGACTCAAGTCCGGAAGTGGGCGAACGACCAAGACTTTCGGCCAGAGTTTTCAATCGGTGAACGCCAAGATGAAGAAGCAGTCAGAATATAAACTGTCCAACTACCAACCGTCTGCGCTAAAACCTTATCAGTGCCTAATACACAGCGGTAAGACAAAAACACACAGCACAGAAACAATTAGTACTAAAATCACAAAACAGACCAGCATTGCTTTATGCCGACTTTGGAAAACTCCAAAGAAATTCAATAACGATCTGCTCTCTATGTGCAGCCTTCTAAATTTCCCACTGATAACACCCAAATACCCACTGGCTAAGCTTTTATTCTCCTAATGGAGTTTTATTTGTGAATGGAAACGAGTAGCAACATTTCTGATTGATTTTGTTACCGTTGGTTGGTTTAAGAACGACCGTTGGCGCTCGCTACCTGTGGCTGGTTGTGTGTTCGTGGGTCTGTCTACGTGGGTCTGTCTACATGGGTCTGAATGAATGCATTTCCTTGTGTATGTGTACAAAGACAGACATGTCCTAATGACTGGCGAGGGTTATCACACTTCGTCTTCTATGGCACTCTCCAAACTCGTGTGATGATAGCTGTCAACAGACTTTTCACAACTTGTGTAGAAGTAGCAGTAATTTTCACGAACATATCCTGGTCCACAGAATGTGTTATTCCACCCACAGTATAATAACTGGGATATGGAGTGTTCACAGAGTTCTCAGAGTATATATTTCCTATTTAATACAAGGGATATTCCAAAATCAACTTCCGCCTAGCTGGTAAAAATAAACCCTTTGCCATAGCGACACTACTTTTTGCTTACATCATTCAGTAGTCTTTTAGCTCAATACACGCCGACCTTGAGTCGTATTTGTTCAGTGGTTCACGAATCGCCAACGAGTAAACAGGCCAACTGTTATGCTTCCAGTGCTGCCAGCTGTGAAATTTGTGGTGTTATTCGTTTTCTTCAAGCTGAAGTCAAAATGCCACCGAGATTCATCGTCGATTGTGTCTTAGGTGCGGCGACAACATTATGAGGAACAATTCTGTGAGGGATTGGTGCAGGAAATTGAGAGGTGGGTGTAAAGACGTGCATGCATGCGGAGGATACACAACGACGACATTGATGTGTTACGAATGATTTTATTCAGAAAGTCGACCAAGTCTTAGTGGAAAAGCGCTTTTCACAATTTAAAGTCTTTTTATCAGACCTATCAGCTAGTTGTAGAGTTTTGTAGACATTATGTAGACAGATCTAAAATTGTGAAACGGCGCTTTTTCGTATATCGTATATTTGTTTATTTACGACAGTTATGTCATTTGTATTAGTGTTTTAAATACTGCTTTGTTTTCACCTTCCTGTGTTGTGATAAGTTAGAGATTATAATATGAATATTTAGATCAAATTGTCAATAAAATAGTGAATGTTGTTTAATGCCATTAGTATAACAATCGTTAACCTTGTTCTTATTATACAGGGTGCAAATTTAAGTGTCGACTAGCGTTTATGCTGGCGAGAGACCGAGTTCCTTTCAGGCAGACCATGATGAGAGCGACGTTCTGCAAAGAAGCTGCTACATGATGATGACGATGACTGGTGTATTTGGTTCTATCTTGATTAATTTTTTATTTTTTTTTATTGATGTGTCTCCGTATCTGTTGACTGCTTAGGTTTACGTGTGTGTGTGTGTGTGTGTGTACTGCTTAGGTTTACGTGCGCGTGTGTGTGTGTGTGAGTGTGTGTGTGTGTATACTTTGTATGCATATAAAGTAAATGCTAAAAAGAATCCACAAGCACAACGCCAAACACACAACAACAATAATTTCATGAGTTGAACTGAGTTGAGTCAAGAATTGGCATCACAGCACTCGGGACATTCCCACGCGTGCTGCGTCCCCATTTTCAGCAGCCAGCGCAGAGTTCCAATACTGATGGTACCGGTCGTAATCTGGTTACATGTCCGTCTTGCCATTCCTCTGAGTGTATTAAGCCGGCCAGACCCCCTGGTTACTCACACCCAGGTGCCTCATTCTCTCGAGGCCATCATAATCTTGTTTCATGAAAAACGGCTTTTATGTCATATGTCCCCATCAGTGAATATCATTCTCTTTCCCATGTGGCTTCTAGGGATCCATGTTGAGGGGGAAAAAAAACGCAAAGAGAATATACATTCTGCCCCTTAGCAAGCACGTCATAAAACACGAATAATTAAATGCGTGCTGAATTAGCTAGTGTTAGGTCGAAAGATGAAGCGATCGTAGCCCAGCTAAACAACTAGAGACGCTAACCACCTTTGGCGAATGGAGAAGACTTTCCATCCACAGAGCCACCAATTCTTTACAAAACAAACAAACCGCGTTTATAAAAAAAAAATGATTTAATCCCTCCCCCCCCCCTTTTTTTTTCCACACACACCCATACACATACATACACATGGTAACCAACCTCCTCATTCATTTGACCCCAGTTGCCAATATGCTAACACGCGTAACATACTTATATTAATTAAATCAGCGAACAGAAAGCACTTACTCGATAAAGTCTGAATTGTTGGGGATGGTGATACAGCCGTGAAGATCTGTTGCCATCCTCATTTTCATTATAACCACCATGAATTCACAGTTATATATTAAAATATTGGGATATTATAAACAAGAAACACGGTTAATATCACCAGCTGTCTGTACACTAGGGCATTATCATGACGAATATCCACTTAGATATTGGGCAGTTTTAGCGTCTGGTGTATGTGGAAATAGTCCGCTAGTACAGCTACTACTTACTATCTGTGTATTAATCGCACGTACAATATCGGATACGAATCGCGAAATACAAGGGAAAGTTTATCCCCTGATTTTCGTGTGTACTAAAGAAGATTTTTATCAGTAGGTGAATTGAGACTAGAAGTGCGGCAGAATTACTTATCTCAATGTGTGTTAATATATTTATATAAATACACGTACACACACACACACACACACAGAGAGAGAGAGAGAGAGAGAGAGAGAGAGAGAGAGAGAGAGAGAGAGAGAGAGAGAGAGAGAGAGAGAGAGAGAGAGAGGATGCGCGGTCACGTCTTTACTTTCACTGGGGTTGTCCGTGGCGAAGTGGTCAAGCCGTGTGCCTATCTTTGTACGTGTCATTTATATATTCTATATGTCAGAAATTCTTTGTATCATTTCTACTGCCTATGGCGAGATGTATACTTTAAATATTTCACAGCTTTGCTTTCTGAGTCATACATGTATGCTCTGCAACACACAGCTACATTTCCCATGTCTCTTCGCCACATTTCCACTTATCTACAATTTCTGTCTCCGAGCCACATTTTCCATATAGCAACTACACTTTCCACGTCTATAAACTCCATTTTCCATACCTTAGCTACACCTTTCACGTCTATAAGCTACATTTTTCATATCTTAGCTACACTTTCTACTCTCTTAGCCACATTTTCCATATCGCAGCTACACTTTTCATGTCTCAGCTACACTTTTCATGTCTCAGGTACATTTTCGTGTCTCCGCTGCACTTTCCATGTTCCCTGTCACACAGCGACACGTTAACAACTCCATCATAAATCGAGAAAGATCCCACAGTTACATTAGTCATGTGAGTAAACCATGGCATGTAAAACAAATATTGAAATTCAGCCACTGATCAAATAAAAGCAAAGCCGATTATGATGATTAAAACATCTATTTACAACAATGAAAGTTTGAAAAAAAAAAAAAAAAAAAAAAAGCAACCGATCCCCATATTATTAGAACATCGATCCAGCACTTTGGAAATAGCGGGAAAAAAAAAATAATCACCATCCTATCGCTGAATAGCAGACACACAAAAACTCGTGATCTAAATGTCAGTTAAAAAGTCAAGAAGTATCTGCCCTGTCTCAGAGATACAACGGATAAATCAATTTTTTGTTTACGTCTGTTGTCACCAAGATACCCACTATGTTTTATCGCTATCAAAATACTGCAACAGTACGTCAAATACTATCACCAAACCACTTGGTTCGGTTCACAAATGCTAGGCAGGGCACGTGAAATAGGGGTGAACAGTTTCTCTCGTCGTCATCTTTTATTCCCAGTTTCACCATCTAGGTCCTTCAACACCACTCGTCGCTGGGTCAACACTTGTCATTGTGTCACCACTTGTCGTTGGACCACCACTCGTCATTAGGTCACCACTTATC